GCAGGATGAGGGGCAACATCCTGGACAGGACCCTGTTGTAGCACTGAGACCGAGTTAAGGGAAGCAGAGAGTCAAACGAGGAGAGCAAGGCGCCGTCCATCAGAAATATTAAGGTGACGGGCAGAGCACAGCGTCGGGGGGGACACGGCGCCTCGCGGCCTTCCCAGGTCTGCATCCATGTGGAAGCGCTGCGAATGAGAAGGAGGGGAGGCAGAGATTCTCCACAGCAGGAAGGAAACCTGGAAGCCTGAGTCGGGGGCTGCTCTCGGTCTGCAAAATCTCACTTTGCATGGCTACATTGTCTGTCTTGCTGGAGCCTGGAAAGGGGCAGTTTTGGAGTTTTGGTGGCCTCCATCCAGGGGTCCCATCTGCTGTTTCCTAAGTGGTTAAGTGGCTGCTTGTTTCCTTACTAATGCAAAAACTGTTTTTCCCTTTTCCGCAAGGTGAGCAGGTTATATCTTTGGACCTAAGCTGGAACTGCTCTCACCAAACTGTCCATGCACAAGCATTAAATTCTTAGTTGTGTTTTTCCTTGTTTGATTGTTTGTTCTTTTTTTTTTTTCTTTTTTTTGAGCTAGTTACCCAGCCCCAATTAACATCATACAAAGTTCCAGCTGCAAGTGAATCACTTAGGGCATGAGCTTTCGAAACCCCATGTGTTATATTGAACTTGAAAACACACCTGAAAAAACACACCTAAAATACACCTTAATCTGCTTTGCAGCCCCCAAAACAGCTGGATGGACCAGTTATACCCATAGCCCCAGCTGTCTCGGGCTCTCCGGACAGTCAGATGTGGGATATTGCGCTGTGCTGCCTGCACTGTGTGTGTCCTGCCAGGTAGGGGTGCTGAAACGACGCAGAAGAACGAGTGGAAAAAAGGAGAAGGGGAAGGGAAACACTTGGCGCCTGCAGGTGACACAGCTTGGCAGGCACCACCGTCACCTCGCGTTTTCAGATGCTCCTAGTTTAGCCATGTTGGCTCAAGCTGGTGACATCCAGGTGGATTCGCCTCTGTGCATTTGAGCTAAACCAGTGCAGTGAGCGAGGCCCAGGTCAGATGCTGCTGATGCTCAAGCGACCTGATGTCGCTTAGGAATCTTCTGAAATCTGGGGAAAAGCTGAGATGGTGGAGAAGATTCCCCCATACATCATTTCTCTGCCAGAGCAGCGACTGCAGAGATTTTCATCCAAACCACCTCCTCCAAGTGGTGCCTAAGAGCCTCCTCCAATTGCCAGCTGATGGATTAACCTCCTCATCTTGCAGATTTAGCAAAAAGCTAAAGCTTTCTGAAAACAGACCTTCCCTCCGGTCTCCATAGCACTGTCCCATGTCAACTTTGTCCCAGTGAGCTTTACACAAGGCCAGATGTCCACGTATCCGATCTACTTTGTGGCCTGTCCAAAGAAACTCTCTTTGGACATAGAAGTCAGCAAGCAATTAAATCCTCTAGACTGGGGTATGGGTATTCAGGTAGCACCTGAAAAAAAGTCAAACTCTGAGAATACGCAGAAAGCCATGAACAGTTTTGTTGCAGCAAATGTGTAGGGTAACTGTGCTAACAGTGACACAGAAAGTAGACAGAAAGAATCAGTCAAGGCAGAAACATTTTGGAGTGTGGGTGCAAGCTACAGGAATTTTGGCACGGTCTTCATTGAAATTGAAATGTTTGGAGAAAAAAAAAAAAACAAATTCTTTTTGGAGATAGGTGGCAAAGTGTCTCCCATTTGGGAAGAAAACCAAAGTTTTCCTGTAGATGAAAATCCTGAATCCCTGGGCAAAAGAGGAGTAGAGAGGGGGGAAAAACGATCCACTATCCTGCCTGATATCCATGATTTCTGATGGCTTCTAAAGAGGCCTGGTCCACAGAGTAACTTAAGAGGAATGATGTCTGAAGAGGAACTTGATAAACAGTCGAAGGTCCCATCACTGCCACGGCAGAGCAGAGGGCCCCGGGACCACATCCCTGTTAAGCTGTGCAGGCATTTCCGAGGCGCTGCGTGAGATTTCGTGTGCGTTGTGATAAGAGGCAACCTTACGGAATCAGCCCTGTTTTCCCGCACAAAACCCGCTGTTTCCACCCCTCCCCAATATCTATTTTTAGAGCCGCAAAAGGACAGCCGTAGTATGAAAAAGGAATTAGGTAACTCCGCGGGGAGGATCCATCTCCTATTAAACCGATGAGCGCAGCCGGAGGAAACGGGCAAGCTTTCAGGCGCATCACCCCTCTCCAGCGCTGACCTGCCGACTCCTTTTCCCTCAGCTGCAGCTTCTCCCAGCCGACACGCGGCGCTTCCCTCCGCCGCCGCCGCCGCCACAGCCGCACGTAGCGCCCGGAGCCCCGCTCCGGGCTCGGGGGACGTGACAGCTCGCGAGGAATCGGCGGTCGTCGGCCGCCTCGTTGTAATGAGGATATCCTGGTCCCCGGCGAGGGGGGGACCACGCACCCTGTGAAGAAGGACGGTGAGACGCAACGGAGGAGCCCATGCTGGGTCTGACGCTCCTCGCGCTGTGTCTGAGCCACGCGGGTAAGTGACATCCCTTCTCCTTCCCGGGCTGCGAGATGCCCAAGTTTTCCTGTCACCCAGATAACTGCAGAAGAGGGTTGTACCTAAGCCTTAACTTGGCATTGCAGCCACAGATGGCTTGGAAGTGGGCTTTTAATAGCAGTTGCGGGATGGAAGTTGAAGTAAAATACCAGGGCCTTGGCCCCCATGTAAAATGTTGTTTGTGTTCAATACCTGGGGGCTATCAGGAAAATGCTGCTCCATGGCAAGCTGGCAGGCAGCTAGAAAACTTTTGCTGTTAATATCCTACCTACGGATGTGTCTGACCTGCAGCTTGTTTCTCTATTTTTGCTTCTATTTTTCTTTCGTGCAGCACAGTCACCACTGCTTTTTCTATCCTCATCATCAGATGGGGCTTGTTCAAAGGGGTTGTCAGGCTATTTTCCCCCCTTGATATAGCTTCCTCCTCATTAAAAGCTGCCCCCTGTACACACACTTTTAAACCTCCCCCCGTGCAAGTGTGCAAGTACTGAGGCTGTGCTATACAAGCACTGACCTTATCCCTCCTGTATTTCCTTTCTGTGGGATTTCCCTCCTCCCGTCCGCTTTCCTTTTCACTCTTTTCTGTGGCTTTTGCAGCAGTGGCGAAGCAGCACGTCTGGCTCGGGGCTCAGCCTCATTTTGCTGCAAGGGAGGCTGTGGGACGCTGTGTGTTTGCATGTGCATGTGCAGGGATTTTTATTGAAATAAAGCTGGAGTGTTATGCCCCAGCCCTGAAACAAAGTTGTGGCCACACAAGTCTTTTGGGGGTTGTGTTTCTATTTGTTTCTGTTTGTTTTTTTTTCTTTTTTCTTCTTTTTTTTCTCTCTATTCAATGGCATCCGTGATAAATTTCCTGCGCTGGATGACTGTGCATAGCTAAGGACATCCTAAGGGGAACACGGAAGGACTGGGGGGTCCTTTCCTAAGGGTTTCCGGAGAGAGGAGCCCTCAGAGCCACGCAGCAACCCGACCTTCCCCATGGCTCTGACTCTCCACAACACGCTGCAAGTATCTGCAGAAGCAGATACGTTCCCCAGGGTGGCATTTACGAGGCTGGTTTGCCCACGGGCGCGTTTCTCTCACATCGCTGCCCTGCCGCGTCTCTCCTCTGGGTCACGCTATGTCCCGGCTCTGCTTTCCCCTGCTCTCCGTGGTCTCTTCCAGGCGCAGCCTCCTTTGGCTCGATTGCGGAAAACGAGGATGCGCTCCTGAAGCACTTATTCCAGGGCTATCAGAAATGGGTCCGTCCGGTGGAAAACTCCAACGACACCATCAAAGTCCTCTTTGGGCTGAAGATCTCACAGCTGGTGGATGTGGTAAGTGTTATGTTAAGCTTGGTGGAAGATCCCGTCCGTTATGGACAGACTTGTATCCATCTGGGAGGCCCGGCCACATTGTTTGCTTTTGCTTCCAAAGACAAGAAGTGCGAGGTGATGGTTGGGCCACAACGCACTGGGCATGAGGCAGTGGTGCTGGTGGTGCGGGTAGAGGTGTTGGTGATGGTGGTGATGACAGCAACGATGTGGGGGGTGGTGGTAGTTGTAGCAATAGTGATGGGGGTGATGATGGTTGTTGGTGGTGCTGGTGGTGATGATGGTAGCGGTGATGATGGTTGTGGTGGTCGTGATGGTGGAGGTTGTGGAGTTAGTGATGGCAATGGTGGTGGTGCTGGTGGTTGTGCTGGTGGTGGTGATGGTGGTGGTGGTGATGGTGGTGGCGGTGATGGTGGAGCTGGTGGTAATGGTGGTGGTCAGAGTGCTGGTGGTGGCGTGACCTCCTTCCCTGTTACCACCGCTGTTCTTGGTGGATAAGGCCTTGTTGCACCGGATGTTAACCAGCTGCTCCAGGCCAATCGCTGCCACCTGCGTCGGGCTGTTGAGGAGCTGCCCCCACGGGGCAGGGGAGGGGAAGGGTGGAGTTGGTTGTTTCAGTCCAACCAAGGTTTCATGGAGGCCAAAGGCAGCTGATATCTACACCCCGCCAGCCACCAAGATAAGATAATGCAGGTGAAGAAGAGACAATCCTTTTTTTTATTATTTTTGTCTTTCCCAACACTTGGAAAATTTCCGTTCCTTTTCCCCTGCGTTCCTGCAACACATGGGGACGTTTGCGTGGGGTGGCCAGGCGCAGATGTACCCGCAGGACAGGGCAAGCCCTGGGCGGAGGAAGGGACACGTTAGCTCTGTGCTGTGTGCCCACGCTCAGGGCATTTCCATGCATTTCCCCAAACTTGGTCCGTCTGGGTGGCAGGGGGCACTACGGTGTCTCGTGAGCCTCAGCTCCCGGCGCTGCTGAGTCCCATGGCCGGTCGCTCCAGGCTCTGGGTTCTCCTCCCTGTGGGTGCCTCTGCTCCGAGGCATTGGGAAAGCAGCATCCCATGGGGAAGCCGGACACTGGGAGCTGCTCAGTGGATGGGGTTGTCTCCTATTCCGGCATTTCAGTCCTCTCCCCTCCTGTCACCCTAGGATGAGAAGAACCAGCTGATGACAACCAACGTGTGGCTGAAGCAGGTGAGTGGGACCCTCCTGCCCCTCGGCCTCTATGGGCCTGGAGAGAGGCCTCTTTCAAAGGGGAAAGAATGAGAGTTTCTTGTTTTTCTGCAGAAATGGCAGCTGCATTTTGGGATGCGACATCTCCCGATCCTGCAGTGTCCCGGAGGACTGTCCTGTCTCACACTTAGAGGTCACCCACGCCCTGTCTTACTCTTCCCAGCAGAGACTGAGGTTTTGTCTTTGGTGTAACTAAAGAGAAAGGCAAGGCCAGCTTGTTGCCCTTGAAATTAACATCTGCGGGATTTCCTCAAGCTATTCACCTCTCCATGATAGACTTGTCTCTGGGAGTGATGTATATTTATACAGATGGAGGAGAGCTGAACAGTTAGATCTCCTTTCTTCACTCCTGGAGAACACTGTGCTTGGTTTAGATTACAGTGCATTGTTTTTTTTGACCTTGTGACAATTATTTTAAGTCTCTTGGGCATCTGAATACTTATAAATGCATCAGTTGATCCTAGGCAGAGGGCATAAAACCCAGGTCTTGCCTGAAACGGTGCCATGGGAAGTGATTCCCAGGGGTCACTGTGCTGGTGGATCTTCTGCTCTTAGTTTGGCATCTGCAGCCCTGTGCTGGATCAGGACCCCTAAATATCATATGGGCTTAGTGTGCAGAGATGTCCCTTGAAGAAGGACAAGCTCTGCTTCCTACAGGGAGCAGTGGAATCCCCCTTTTGTGAGTAAATTTCAGGAAATTCCCTGCTAACCTGAGCCTTGAGAGTCTGCCCCCAAACCACCTTCTCCCTCCCTCTACGCCTTCATGTGGAAGGACCTACCTGGGAGACTGCACGGAGGACACAGCAATTTCTCCAGAGGCCTTTGGAAAAAGGTGCTCAGATTTTAGCCAGGGATTTCTCCCCCCAGGAGGAAATCAGGACAGAGATTTTTCCTGCAAAGTGTTGAGCTGGACTTTCACTAGTTGTTACCATTTCTCTGTCTGATGGTCTGAGAACAGTATAGCCCAAGCAAAATGCAAAAAAAATAAATGCAGAAAATTAATGAGACACCGACGCCCATTTTGACACAGGCAGGAGCTCCCAGGAGGTCAGGCCGAGTGTTAGATACCCCTGGTCTGACCCAAATGTCCTGCTTTGGGAATGCGTGTGCTCCTCCAGGCTTCGCCTAGCGTGAACCAGCCCCACAAGCAAACCAGTGCTCAGGGGTTTGCAAGAAAGTGTGAGATGACAGCTGGGAAGTGGTGTCTAAAATTGAGCAGAATTAAAACCTTTTTTTTTTTTTTCCTTCCTTTGGGTAGAGAAAATTGAAAAAATATCAAAAAAAAAAAAAACTCAAAAAAACCCCCCACCAAACTCAAAAAACTCCCTGGTGAGGCACATCCTGTTCTCTTGTGGGAGTTGGGGAGTGCAGGTAGCATCTGGGGAGCAGGAATTAGGCAGAGCTGGAGGAAGAGACGAACCCTGAGAGGACCTGGAGAGGGAAGAGAGAAGAGGGCCCCACATCCGAGCGGTGCAACTCACACCAGCGCAGAGCCTGTGGGGAGATTCCCACTTTAAACTGTTCGTCTCCAAAGTCCCCAGGCTGCCTATTTTTGTCTCTGGTAAGGAGACACGCAGCCGCCCGTCTCGCAGACATGGAAGAGCACTTTAGCTGCGGCAGAAATCGATGCCGGCTGGGGATGGGGAGCGAGGAGGGCGGCAGAGGCAGCAGGAAGCCCAAGCCCAGGAACAGCTCCAGTTCCACGTGGGCCAGCCCTGATCTCAGGAGGCCTCTGCCCTCGCTCTGCTCGTGGCCTTGGGCCCTTTCTCCATCCCAGGGAGGAATGTTTGGTGTCTCCGTGTCTGCCTCAGTCTCTGCCTTGGCTCTGTAAAGGACTTCAACAGCACGAGTAGGTAGGGCTGGCTGTGAGAAAACACGCAGAATCCAAGAAGCTAGATGGGAACAGCAGGGTGGGATAAGCAGCACAGAGATTATTGCTTTTACGTCCATCCATAGACAGTCAGGAAAGTGCCCAGAGATCCTGAGGCCCCTAGATCCCCAGCGAGCTTAATGGAAAATATCCTGTCTCTGGGTATCGGTATGGATGACAGTCCATGGCTCCTGTTTCCCCTCACTGCCAATCCCCAGGGCAATGGGAAGCCCCAGCTATAATGGCCAGGGATCAGAGAACTGCTCTTCTGTGGAAATCTATAGGTGTCTGGAGCCACTCGGATAGAGAAAATTTTTCTAAGGCTCAGCATAATGAATATGGCCAGGACAGTCTCTCTGTCTTTATTTATTTATTTATTTTTGTAATGTTACATCTTCAGAGTTGCCACCGAACGCTTTAAAACAGTATAATCTTGTGGGTTTTCTTTTCTTTTCTTTTCTTTTCTTTTCTTTTCTTTTCTTTTCTTTTCTTTTCTTTTCTTTTCTTTTCTTTTCTTTTCTTTTCTTTTCTTTTCTTTTCTTTTCTTTTCTTTTCTTTTCTTTTCTTTTCTTTTCTTTTCTTTTCTTTTCTTTTCTTTTCTTTTCTTTTCTTTTCTTTTCTTTTCCTGCAGTGGTGTGCAGGCATCTGTACTGGGAGAATAATAATCTGGTTTGGAAGACCAGTGCGCACACACTGGGAGATGTCAGTCCTGTGCATAGAATAAGACCAGGTTTTCACTGAAAAGTAATTAAAGGCCAACCTCTCTGTCCATGGGGCAAAAGTAGCCATGAAATTTGACTTTTCTGTGGGTTGGTGCCAACTGAAAATGCGGTAGGGTGTTCTTCCACATCACAACAACGTTCCCTACCCACAGGATGCATCTCCTTCTTTGTGGACTGCCCTCCGAGACTAGGTGGGTTGGGCAGGGCTGTAGGTGCAGTGAGAATTGGTGCTTTCCAAGAGCATCCTGGGGTTGTCTGGAATGAGATGGGGTGACGGGGCCCAGCTGCGCCCATAGTGCTCGTGGGGATTAAAATCCTTGGCCAGGGGATCCCCCAGGGCATCCCCTCCGCAGCTGGATTGTCCTGCCCACAGTACTGGATCCTCTGGAACACGTGTGGGAGGATGAGTGTTGTGTCCCAGTGGGCAGAGGACTGCTGCCTTGTTGCAGGAATGGATGGACCACAAGCTCTCCTGGAATCCAGAGGAGTACGGCGGCATCACTGCCATCCGTGTGCCTTCCGAGTCCCTCTGGCTCCCCGACATCGTCTTGTTTGAAAAGTGAGTAGCATGGCTATGCGCCCAGGGCCTTGGCCAGGGATGAGCTTGGCATGCCAGGAGCATCAGGGCCACGCGGATGTCCTCTTCCCTTGTGTCCTGGGGAAGAGAGCAGAGCTGTGATGGGGCTCGGCTGGGATGAGCATGATTCCGGACCTGGCAGTGTTTCTCCCTGTCCACCTCTCAGTGCCGATGGACGCTTCGAGGGCTCCTTGATGACCAAGGTCATAGTGAAGCACAACGGAGTGGTAACATGGACGCCACCTGCCAGCTACAAGAGCTCCTGCACCATGGATGTGACCTACTTCCCCTTTGACAGGCAGAACTGCTCCATGAAGTTTGGGTCATGGACCTACGACGGCAGTATGGTGGACTTGGTTCTAGTGGATGAAAATGTGGACAGGAAAGACTTCTTTGATAACGGAGAGTGGGAGATCTTAAACGCCAAAGGCATGAAAGGCAACAGGAAGGACGGCCTGTACTCCTACCCGTTTGTCATGTACTCCTTCGTTTTGAGGCGCCTTCCACTGTTTTACACTCTTTTCTTAATAATCCCGTGCCTGGGGTTGTCCTTTCTGACTGTCCTGGTGTTCTACCTGCCTTCGGATGAAGGGGAGAAGCTCTCGCTGTCTACATCAGTTCTCGTCTCCCTCACTGTGTTCCTGCTGGTGATTGAGGAAATAATCCCTTCTTCTTCCAAAGTCATCCCTCTGATCGGCGAGTATTTGCTGTTCATCATGATCTTTGTGACCCTCTCCATCATTGTGACCGTCTTCGTCATCAACGTCCACCACCGCTCCTCCGCCACTTACCACCCCATGGCACCCTGGGTGAAGAGGCTCTTCCTGCAGAAGCTTCCCCGGCTGCTCTGCATGAAGGGGCATGTGGATCGTTACTCCTTCTCAGAAGCCGAGGAAAAGGGAACCACGTTGAAATCGAAGCCCCCAGGGAAGCAGAAACACAAGCAAGCGAAAGATGGTGAGAAAGTTGTTATTGCCTTTCTGGAGAAGGCAGCTGACTCCATCCGGTACATCTCCAGGCATGTTAAGAAGGAGCATTTCATCAGACAGGTGGGTGAAGGGAAGCAAGAAGAGACCACAGCTTCCCTGACAGTGTCAGTTTCTGAGTTTTTTTTTTTTTTTTTTTCTGCATGGCTTTCTATTTGTCCCTTCCTCCTGCCCTCCTCTGAGACCTGTCCTGGGGGCTTTCCTCACTTGGTAGATGACCTGGTTTTGGGAAAACACATTGCTCCAAGGGGAGTTGTATTGTGCTGAGCCCCTGGTCCTCACTCACAAGAAGCCTCTCCCGGAGGAATCACCATTTGAGGAATTCCCATGTTCCCGTGTTGCTTGGATAACCTTGTCCTGATGAGTGGATCTCTGAGCTCCCAAACTATGCCTTTCCAACACTCATATGCAGGCTCTACATATATCACCAGGACTCGGTCTAGGCCCCCTAGCTCTTCTATCAAGAGCAGTTGCACCATTTAAAGCAAGGGTCTTCTTGATTTATGCTATTCCCAGTTTAGATTGCTCCCTAGATGTCACCTTTCTCCTCCTCCCAGCATTTACCTTGCTATTAAAATACCAAAATTTTAGAAGTTAGCTCAGCCTCAGTGCCTGGACTTGCTTCCATGCAAGGCCAAGATAGCAGTGATGGGAGTGCATACAACAGAGTATGGAAAGAGAAAAAAAGTGTTGTTAGCAGCCTCCTAGTAAAAACCTTTGGCCAAAGTGTGCTGAGGGATTTCAGGGATGAGCAGGAAAGAGCAGCAGAAAAGCATTTGAACATACAATGCCCATGCCCGAAGCCTTCTGTTTGAAGCTGAGACCATTCGAAAAGAAGTCCTCTGAATTACATTTACAAATAGCTTGTGGCCCTGTGATCAGGGTAGGGCCAGAGCAAAACCTCCTCACAACCCACACAAGCTGAGCCAGAAGAGCACTTAAGAAAAAGAAACAAATGGGACCTCTTGTGCTGGGAGCAACGTCTGGACTAAATGGCTTTGCTAGAGCCAAGGACCAGCACTCAAAGGGAAATGCAGTTCTTTCAAAAGAAATGCAAATCACTATGAAGCCATCTTGAACCTCCAGTCTGTAAATTTTTGCATATGCGCTTAGCTAAAAGCTTTTGCAGGGGCTGAAATTAGTCTCTGATTACTATGGACTTAAAGCCACGGGAATGCTTTTATGCTTGAGGGATGGTAGCTATTGCTACTGAAAAAGAACTGTTTTTTTTTTTCTGCAATATTGATTTCAAGCTACAGTACACTACACACTTCTGTTTTTTTAAAATAAGATTTTTACAACTGAAATATATGTAAAAATCTTCAATATACCACACTCATTAATATCTTTGGCTGTTTTCTCTCTCTCCTTCCCAGGTGGTCCAAGACTGGAAATTTGTAGCTCAAGTCCTGGATCGGATTTTCCTGTGGTTGTTTCTGGTGGTGTCAGTGACAGGTTCAGTTCTCATCTTTACCCCAGCGTTACAGATGTGGCTGAACAGTAGTTCGTAGAAAATGCTCCCAAATTAGTGTACAGCAAGCACAATGCCATGGGATGTGGGAGCATTGGGGCTTGCCCTTTTTTATGGTACAGGATGGGAAGCAAAAGCAAGACTGAGTGAAGGTGGTGACGCTAACAAGGGGTACTGATCGATGCCCTCTCTGTCTTCATACAACTCTACCAGTTACTGACTTTATCAGAGAAGGACTTGGAGGCAGCCGAGTACCCGAATGAACTGGGGTGTCCAACCACATTATAAGTATTATGTCTGGTAGCCTGGTAATATTACAGCATGAGCCCGGACTATTAATTTGGAAGGGAAATAGTACTTTTGGTGCTTCGAATACATTTAAAAGTGAGATCCTTTGGTTAAAATGCTATGTTATAAAAGAAATAGACTGTAGTAGGTACGCTGAATCAATACTCAGTTTATCTGTCTACATTTTCAAGTAAAAACACAAAGGCTCTACAGATTGCCTTGAGCACGTGCTGGGAAATGGCCATTGCACGTGCATTAGAAAAAGCACAAATACCTTTAGATGGGATGCTGGAACCTTAAGTCTGTGGTCTCCCCTGTGTTCGGCATGGCTCAGCACAGAGGGGACTTGCAGCTCTCCTGCTACCAGCCTTCCTGTCATGCACACGCTGTCCCTCCTCCTGGCTGCTGGGGCACTGCACCGTGTTACTGCTATTCTCTGTTATTTGCATCTGTACCTTTTGCTCAGCAACATATCGAAAGGCTGAAGAAGTTTGGTTTTAGAAACGGTGATTTCTGCACCTACCCTTTCACAAGGCTGGAAGTGGGAGCAGACTTGGAGCGTGTCCGTGGGGGGAAGGTGGCCACACTGCTCCTGGGGGCAGCCGTGGTCTTCCATAACGATCCGCTGGGGAATGGAGAGGAGCCATGGAGATGCCTCTTGGAAAATGAAGCTTGTGGTTGGTGCAGAAGTGGAGTTTCTCCTAGGGCTGGCTACCAGAAAGCTGTCTCTTTGGGTGTTGTTTCCCTGCCAATCTGGAATTTCATTCCTTTGGTTCGTTCAGATGGGATCCTTCTGCTTTGTTAGAAACTGCCTAAAATTGCAAATGCAACCTGGCAAAAAAGGTACAGATGAGCTTTCCACCACCTTCACTGGTGTGAAGCTGCACTGATATAGAGTCTTTTAGAGAATCCCACTTAGACATTTCCTATGCTTTCAAGGCTAATGAGGGAAGAAACATCCTGTTTCCAAGAATATCAGTGCAAGCCTAGCATTAAGTCTCTAGCCAACCTTGAAACTCTCTCCCTAGGGGTAGAAATGAAAAGATATTAAGAATACAAGACTATAATAGTGTGCTTGGGTTATGTGTGCTCACCAGACCTTTCTGAGTTAAGATTATCCCTGGTGTTGCTTTGTCACTGCAGAAAACTTTACTTGTGCAAACATTAGTAAAACTGTTTTTAGTAAAGGATTCCCAAGGGCGAAGAATGCCCAACTATTACTGTTGTTTCTTTGTTTGGTTAGTGTAAATTTTAGCCCATTTAAAAAGCCTTGCATCAAATCTATTCAAATAGAGGGTTTTGCATGTTCCTGGAAATTGCTCATTACATTTTACATCATTCAGAGCTGTTTATTAATAGCAAAAATGTGTAACAGGCCACTAATATATAAAGATGTCTTCCTGTAAACACTGCTATCTGTATAAAAATCTTACATATTGGCCTTATTCCGGGCTGCTGGGATGTCTTTTTTGCTTGCTTTGCTCAGGTCAGTTGTTCCTCCCTTCCGTCATCGGGGTGCGAGATGTGCAAGTGCTTGACACAGGCAGGGCTGTTAGCCCCTGGCCTTTCTCCCTTGCCTTCAGGCTTTCCATAGCCACAGCCTCACCGCCTGTTATTTCCTCACACTGATTGTTCCTGAGCTCCCTTGAACCCGGGGTCACTGGTCTGCAGACACCTAAGGGCGATAAATACAAAGTCTGTTTCGCGTGGGTGCTTCGGTGCCCGCTCAGAGGTGGCCCCTGCTGCAGCTCGCCCTGCGTGGGGTGCTCACCGTGCCCTGGCTCTCTCCAGCCACCCGCCTGCTTTCACGACGCTGGCAGCGGTGTCACCACGTGCAAGGCTTCAGCCGCCTCTCGAGCATAGCTGAAAACAGCAAAGGGTCCAAAAGCTACCGAGCGGAGGGAAAAATGGGAATCGTAGAATGGTTGGAAAAGACCTTCAAGGTCGTCAAGTCCAACCGTGAATCCATTCCCACCATGCCTGCTAAACCATGACCCTAAGTGCCTCATCGATGGTACATCAGCACCAGGGAAAGACAGATCAAGATTTTGTAAGGCTTATTTTCTTAGGATACCAGCTAGACGAGCCTAGCTACCCAAAACTGTGTTTAAGGCCCTCAGGAAACGCAGAGGGATGACTGGTATATAAATGGTATGCCATTTATATGGTATACAAATGGCATGCTGAGGCACGAAGGGCTGGGCTGGGCTCTCTGGGCACCTCCTGACAGGACACAGGTAGCTAAATAAACCATAATGCTTTGTTAAAGACCCATACGTTGTGGTAAAGTTGCCCTCCTGGCTGCAGGACTCCAGCTGTGGTGCCTAAGGCACCAGTGCAGCACAGTGTCAGCCAGGATACTGCTCTTGGCTTCTGTGGCCACAGATTGCATCAGTAGATGCTGGTTGCCAGATGTCTTTCCTGTAGGAATGAAGGTTTTAGGCTCAGTTTTAGGCTCTTCTCTTCGAATCCCTGCTTTTCCCCCTCCCTCCTTGCTGTTTTAGCAGCCAGCGCAGCAAGGATCTCTTGGTAACATCTCCACATATATCACACCATTGTGGGCTTTTGAAAAAAATACATATCCTTCAAGCAGCTGTGTCCCAGGAGTGGTATTTAATTAACAGGCCGGCAGAATAAACCATGTTTGTTCATACATCTGCCTGTCAGTCACTCCACGGCCACGCTGCATTCAGGTAGGCTGCAGAAAACACATTTTTCTGCAATAAAACAGACTTTATTCTGTTTTTCTGCATTGCTGCCAAGTTACTCCTCTGTGGTGTTTCTGGATGGTGGTGGCAAACTACGTGCAGTGCTCACTGTCAGGCAGGTCTCCCTCGATCCACGAGCTTAGGACCTGTGTGACTTCGTGAGCGCAGTGTCCATCTGGGATTCTCATTGGGGCACATGCTTTGCTGGAGCAGGGGAGGCCTCATTTCAAATTATATCCAAGACATCACAGGATCAAGGGATCGGTTTGGGTGCAGTTTTATTTGGATTGTTGCTTTTCCCATCACAAGATCACAATAAAGAGCATTTGTTCTGCCGGTGAGGCCTTGGTTCCTCATCCAAATGCTGTGCTGTGGATTAAGTATTGTGCAAGGAGAGAGTCAGGGAGAGAGGGAAGGTGAATTAACCTAAAGATCAGGAAGGGTTATGACCAGTGGGGAAAAAAATGAAGCCACCCAAAATCATCTCTGAGCAAGACACTCAGAAGTGCCCGAACTGACCTAAAACCCCTCTGATCTGAGGGCAAGGGAAAAACTCTTCAGCTTTGGTTAGTGGCCCCCTTGGTTTTATTATTGCTGGCTATACTGAGGGAAAGTCAGATAGACACTACCAAATTCTAACAGTTGTGCCTTAAAAGTATCACGAACTGATATCCAATTTTATGTCTTCTTCTTTGATACTTTGTGTTGTTTGTCTTCACTTCTCTCCTTCCTTTTGTGGGTGGATACTGAGGAGGAACTGAGACAAGGGTGATATAAGAGGAGAGAAATGTAGGAAATGGCACTGAATTACTAGGCAAATAAAACAAAAATGGGTGCAGAGTGGTGGCTTATTTATCTGTTATTAGTGGCTGTAGAAAGAGCCCTGCAGTCCCAAACACACAGAGGATTATGAATACCCAGAGAAACACTCTGTCTATCACCATAGCTACGTATTTCCAGTCATCTTCCACCTGCAAGAGAAAGAAAAAAAGAAGGATTAAATACATGTAATGCATATGTAAGGCAGCTATGGCAGCAGTGCCCCTTATGCTTTCGGACAGGATGGAGAAGGACATACACACAGGTGAGACTGTGGTGCTTGTATTTGCTATTCTTTTCAAGCCTTTTTGGAGGGGACTGATTTTCCAAGACTAGGTTTGATTATAACATAAGATATAGGCCCTTTCCTGTGCTGCTCCCTGAACTATCTGCCACTCATGTAACAATCTTGCTTGCTAAACAATCTCTCCTGAGCGTTTTTCCACCCCTGTTTTCTTTTCCCAGTTTCTGTATGTTTTCTGCCAAGAGGCTGCCACTGTGCTTTTTGGGAGAGAAAACGCAGCAAGAATCCATCTGCTGTAAATGTTGCCACCATTTCAAAGAGCTGTTATTCATACAGTGCTGGTGCATGGTGTTGCCCAGGTGGTTTTCCATATCTGTCTGAAGCAGGAAGCAGCCTGCAGAAGAGTTTCCTCACTGCTTGCCTGAGAACAAATCCTATTTTTTTCCCCTGCCTCTAAAGAGAAGGACTGTTCACAGATGGAAAACCCTCTAATACGCCCTGAAAAATAAGAGACAGAGCTGCTGATGCACACGGCAGGCTGCAAACGTGATTTCACATGGCAGGGGGAGCTCTGCAAAACGCACGTCAGCAAAACTGGCAATGGAAGAGGTCTCGTGAGCTGTATAACCAAACTGCTGTGTTCCCAGCACAGCTTCGTGCACAACCTCTGCCCCTCTGGAGCGCATCCAAGAAGCCAGGCAGATGTGGCACATGGCTGCGTCTCATGCAGCAGGAGCAGCAGTGAGATCCGAAATGCAGAAATCTGAAATGCTGGGGTCGAGCCAGCCACCAGGGCACAGGCCCCCTCATTTCCCATCTCCATTCTCCATCTGCGCTGAGTGATTCCTGACGTCTGCTCTGGGCTTGGCACAGCTGCCAGGTCATTCTGCGTATCCCAGTTCCCAGGCCTCCCAAATTACCAAATCTCTGTGTTCTAAGTTAAATACGAGGTATGGCAAGAAACATTTTCACTGCACTAAAAAAAAAAAAAAAGGAATAAAATAGGTAAGTTATTTTCAGGTGACATGAAAGCTTCGTGAATTTCTGCTGATCTCAACAAATTATTCTGATAAGAACACTCACATTTTTCTCACAAAATATTTGCATTTTTCAGTATGAAAACAGCAGTATTTCATTTTGAAATGGATTTTGCCTTCATATAGCATCTAACGACTCAACTCCCAAAGCGGACACTTTATGACTGGCTAAGGTAAATGTTTTATTAGGCTTGAAACTCTTTCAAAAAAATCTCAGTGTGTCTGACACAGATATTTTGTTCTTTGTGAGGCATGGGTGGTCCAGCAGTCTTTACTGGAGCTGTTGCTGGTTGCATTGGTTTACACCTGTGGACCTGGCCACTGAGTTCTTAAAATATCAACATGCTTTATTTTCTGTGACAGTAATCCTTGTTAGGATGAACTATTTATAACTTCATACTAGCATGTATTATTTTATGAGTCCAAATGCCAGGATTCATTTTTAAAACCCCTTCTCTCTTTCTTCAGCCTACCTTTATTCACTGCTTTTCTGTTTTTATTCAGCTGACTTCCCCAAAAGTCAGTTTTTCTGAGTATGGTTGTCATGTCTGAAAATAATACATTGCTGAGGCTGCAGTTAGCCAAATCAGTGTAAAAAAATTCAAAAAGGACCAGACTGAAACAAAGTAGAGACAATGGCATCCTGAGAAGGATATATTTACCAAATTTTTCACTGTCTCAGCACTGCTTTTCTCCACATTAACCACCGAGCTGCTAGACAAGCCCTGCTCATCTGCAAGGAAATCTGCTTGTTCAAACACTCTGCCGGGCCTGGAAGCCTCTCCGATGTGACTCTGTTCATGAGGACAACTCGGAAGCACCTCAGACCTATGGGAGCTGGGAGGCCACATTCCCTTTTGCAAGAAAAGCACCTTGCTCGGCAAGTAGCACCATTGGCATCAAGACATTGTCACTTACTAGGGCTGAGCAGGCAGCAGAAGGGTCCCGAGGGACCAGAGAAGGAGGGTTGGAAGAGGCCTTGAAGGTATCATCTAGTCTGTCCCTTGTCCCACAGCAGGACCAGCTCTGCTCATGGACCTCAGACCCCCTGGCCTCCTCTACTCCCCCAGAAGGGTTGTCCTCATGCCTAATCTAAAACTCTCCTGATGCCTAAATTGTCTCCTGGGAAGAGATGAAGAACAGATGAACTTACTCTTTGTACCTCACAATGGATGATTTATCTCCTCCCTTCATGTCGGAAACTTTGACCCATCTGCAGGTCTCACATTTCTCTTCCCCAACGTTTTCCAATTCCTTTGGGCTGCCCTCCTAGGCCATGTTGTTTTTCAGGCCTCACTTGCTGTCCTCTTACTCATGGCCCTGTGGTTTTGTGGTGGTTTTGTGCGGCCCAGTTGGGCGCATACCCGCTTACCTCTTTGGTTTCATTTTGAGACCTCATGTTCTCTGCGATGAACTGAACGCTGCTAATGACGTCCTTCACCTCCGGGGAGTAGTCCACGTGCTCTGCCGTCCATTTCAGCGACTGGTGGCTCAGGCTCCGGCTTTTGGTGGAAGTGACTTCAGCTGCTCTATCACAGTGATGGCATCGCTGCTCCTTCTGTAATTTGGCATCTCTGTGCTCGCTGTGCTTTGACTTTCCTGATTTACTGGTTGATCCTTTCTTGGTCTTTCTGGAAGCATGTTTTTTTTGCTGTTCTAGAGGCCTCTGCATCAGCAGGACTTTTGGGAGCAGGCTAAGGAAGATGGTTTTTACCCATTTGGGCATTGTGTGAGTGGTTGGGGTTCTGTAATGTATATTGAGGACAAACACAGTGATAACAATAGACAAAGTCACAAATATCATGGTGAAGAGCAAATATTCACCTACGAGAGGAATAACTAAGGAAGTAGATGGGATTGTTTCCGTGATGACCAGTAAAAACACTGTCAAAGAAAGGAGAACAGAGATGCAAAGAGTCACTTTCTCACCACAGTCAGATGGCAGGTAAAAAACTAACACAGTCAGGAATGAGATGAAGAGACAGGGAATGATTAGATTTATGGTGTAAAACATTGGTAGCCTTCGAATATAAAAGGAATATGTTATGTCTGTGTAGATCTCTTCACAGCAGTTATATTTGATGTCATGCTTGTATCCAGAAGCATCAACTATTTCCCATTCACTGTTTTCCCAAAAGTCATTCATATCTACTTTGGAGCCAATGATCAGAAGATCAATTTTGGCTTTGTCATAGGTCCATGAACCGAATTTCAGTGAACAGTTCTGATGATCAAATGGGAAAAAGGTGATATCCATAGGACAGGAGCTTTTAAAAATAGCTGGTGGGGTCCAGGTGATCATTCCATCATAGCGAAGGAGGGCTTTGGTCTTGCCTTCAACTTGAAAATCTCCCACAGCACTGGAAAGAAGAATGAGGCAAAGAAAGGCAAATTACCATGAAAGTAAACCAATATCTTCCAGGGACAGTGCACAAGGAAAGGTCCAACAGAAAGGGAGAAAGGGAAAATCATACTTGTTGTACAAGACAATATCTGGCTTCCAAATTTTATCTGCTGGTACTCGAACAAATTCAATGCCGTCATATTCTGTGGGATCCCATCGCAATTTGTAGTCATTCCAAATCTGAAGGTAGAAGGAACTAGGATTACAAACATAATGTAATCAGCAAATATGTGCATTTCAGGTATGGCTGGATAGTGACAGGCTATAATGGAGACTGCAATCACAGCATATGAAGAAGAAGAGGGCAATGGAGAAATGGACATTCTGGAGAAATGGACATAGTAGGGCATTGGAGAAACACCAGAGATACAATGAATTGTGTTCACACTGATTTGCTGTCTCCTTTTCTGTGGTGAGCTAGGAAATTGATAGCTGAGATGAAACTCCCCTTGACTTACTTACTGCAGAAGTGCCAGTCCTCCTCTGTGCAAGGTTAGTTCCCCCATTAGGAAAACATAGGAAATACAGACCTTACTGCTAGTAGCAGAGTGGAGCCTGATAAAAGCCTGGAGGATGGCTTGTTTTTCTCGCTGTTTTGGTGCTCCAATGCTCTTTGTCTATTTATGACTGCCAGAACTACCAACAGAAAAGAAGGTATGTTCCTTTTGCTAGTACATGTTTTGGCTAGAAACATCAGTTGCAGAAGATGTGGGATTGCAGAGCTGTATATCTAATCAATCCATTACAGGTACGTTCAGCTAAGTGAAATTCACTGGATAAACAAATGATAATGGAGTCGGAAGCAAATGCACCACATGGGAGAGACAGGTTGCACTTTCTTACTCTTCAGCAATAAGTTAACATAATGACTTTTAGAAATGGAGCTTTCATTAATGGAGATTCTTCTCCTTATGTGTATTTTTAAAACTCTTGTTGCTAAACAAGCTCTTATTCTGTACATGTAACTTTAAAGGTATCATGTAACATGTGTCATTTCATCATATCAATGCAAAACGCGCATGAAATTCAAGCCACTTACGTGTCTGAGCCACAAATTGGTTTCCATAATCTGATTGACTTCATCCTAGCAGCAAAAACAGACATTCACATCTTCATAAATGAAAGCATTTTGCTCACAGATAGAAGTGGAAACCAGAATTCCACACGAGCATAAATGAGCTTTCTCTGGTCTATGACTCTTAGGTAAATGATTATAGGTTATTTTTAGGGTGCTTGTGAGAGATAACTTGGCAAAGCAAAGCTGTTTCCACATTTTGTCACAGCAGGTTGCAGCTCTGCGGAATTTTTAGGGACTGTGACCCACAAATATTTGACACACCAGGAGCATGCAGGATATATTGTTATGCAGGACAGAATAAACTCCAGAAATCTGCTTGTAATCTGGTAATAAAACACTTCAACGTATTGAAATCCAGGTCCTGTTTCACCAATAATTCAACTTCACAGAGTAAATTTCAACGTGGTACAACCTGGTACAACCTGGTACCAGGTTTTGCTTCTTTCACAGTCCCTCTACACTATCCCAGCAGGTTTCCTACTTTACAGAAACTCACTCTTGTATAGAGACATGTATCTTACGACATAAAATAGTCATTCCCAGTTCGATGTCTAAAAACATTACCTCACATGCAGGATGCAACACAGGTGCAATCACTGCATTTTTTTTCTGTTTTAGCATTTAGTGTGTGTGTTTTCACACCTGAACTCTCTTCTCACCCCTCTGTATCAGCGGCCTCCTGTAGTTAGTCTTACCACGTTTGTAAGCTGGGTAATGGCCACTTCAAAATGCACTGTGACGGGGTCAGACACGTTTTCCACTGGTCTGATGAACTGGTTGTAGTGGGAGAAGAGTTTATGAAACAGTCGTTCTTCTGATTCACAGGCAGTGGCATCTGTGTTGATAAAAATAAACAAGCAGAACTGCTTCAGAGGTAAGGAAGAGAGAAAAAGGATTCTGGATAAGAATTCCTCTTGTCAAAAGCACTGATCCTTTTATCCTCAAAGCTGAAGGTCTCCAGAGATGTCTCCAGAGCTGGTTATGGTCCATTATTGTCCATTTGGCATCTTCACATCAGACCAAAGCAGAACAAGGTCTACCGCCTAGGAGCTGAGGCCAAGCAAATTCTGAGCAGAAGCAAGGCACACATTTTCAGCCTAAAGAATAGAAGGCCAGCTTATCTGGAAACAAACTCACCTTTTGGTGCTCGTACTTTAAAACTGAGAGTTTGTAAAAAACATAACTTTCTTACTTGGAATAGAAAGCTTGAGGCTGTAATTAGTGGGCCTAAATGTACATCAGAAAGTCTGATTAGGTTGTTATAATGATTCCTCCTCGCCTTAAAAACAATGGCTACATCATAGCTCAGGTTTGCTATTTCAGCTCTTCGGGGCAATCTCTGCTCAGAAGGATGTTTGTCTGTCAAACTCTAAGAAAAAGAAGCAAGAATGTTGCAATTCCTCATTAAATAGCGTTCACTTCTGACATCAAAGCTGTTATTGAGGAATAAGCAGGCCGTAGGTGCTAACTCTCAGTGAGTGGAGGACAGGCTGCTTGGCTCAGCAGGGATAAACCATGTAACAGGCACCAAGCTGCCTCGCTGCAGACTCCAGGGGAGTGCTCTGAATCCATTACACACAGCCCACATCTGAAATAGTTATTTTAGGAGCGCTAGTGGCTAGAAAACTTTTATTTTAAAAGGAGAGATGAGATCACGTAGATTCTAGTGACATAACATTGGAAAAATATCTTTTTTAGGTGACTTGGCTATTTCAAGCCACTTCTATAATTCAGCACTTAAAGTCAAAAAACTTCATAGCAAAAAGATTTAGAAGTTGCTCCTCGTGTTGAGAAAAAACATCTTGTCAAAGCTGCACAATGCAGCCAAGGAGATTACTGATGTGAGTGTGGAAAAATTAATGTTTCAGATACATCTTCGTGACATTTAGCATTAATCCCAAGTGACATTAGAATGTTTCAGGAAAGCAATCACAGTTGGCCTTGGTGTCAGCAAAATCCTTAAACACAGACCAAGTTTGTGTTAGATACCAGGTCTCTGGTATGCACAAAATGTACATTTGCATTTTGCATTTTCTATAGGGCACAGTGTCCTGTGATTGAACAGATGTCCTATAGGAAGATGCTTGTTCTCAGCATGCAGCACTGATTTCATGCATGGGCCAACCTTTCTTTATGTTAAAAAAACAATGTTTCTGCCTTTAAGGTGATACAGAGCACACCCCAATTCCAGGAATTATCACAATTGAAAACTTAAATATTGGTCATTGGTGACTTTCGTTTATGGAAATAAAATTCCAGCAGTCTTTCCATGACTTGACGTTTTGTGTTACCCCTTTAGCAACACCTAGGGAAGTCACATTACTGTCTGTGGAGCTTGGATGCTTGTACATTGTGTTATGTGCCGTTCAAAAAGGACACGTATCTTCCTTTTCAGATTTCCCTATCAATCACCAGCCTGTGACTTCAGCATCACTGTGACTCTGTCGTGGGGACATTTCACGACCAAAGTCTCAGGAGGAAAGTCAGTGAGTCTAAAGTCAGGTTTCATTTGAAATGTTCCTCTTGACTTCTTAATGTTTTAAAATAAAGAAACACTTGAAAACATGCAAGATTTCAGGCCTTTAATTCTTTTTGTTCATTTATGTATTCTCAACTTGTTTGTGATACTTTAAGACAATGCCTAATTCCCTGCCAAGAAAAGCACAGTAATTCATAAAGATGAGTCTTGGTCATCAGCAGAGGCAAGACTTTTCGACAGGCTGTAGTGACTTAAAAGCTGAAATCTTGTTCCAAGTTAGGGAGTCCTGTATTGGAAATCACTCTAGCGCGTTTAGCAATAAACCACAAACAATAGTGAATAAAATATATTGTATTCTGAATATATTGAATATTCTGAAAGCATGAGTAGGGAACAGATGCATCTTTAGCTTGCATTATTTAAGCAACAGCAAGATTCAAGCGTGTAGCAATATCAGCAGCGCTCCTATTTTGTTTTATATTCTGCGCTAGAAGTAGTTCCTCAAATAGTTACCAGATTAAAACAAAGAGTATTTTTATGTGTGAAAATTGTTGCTTCAGCTCCCTTAAAATACTGCTAAAACATCACAGATTTCAAGGTAGAAATAACCGGTGGAAAGTTTACAACGAATTCACTCCAGGAAAGTAGAAGCATAGACCAACACTAGAAGGTATTTTAGAGCTGAGTATCAAAGACAGCCTACCTTTAATCAAGGATGTGAACACAAACGCCCACGCGCAGAAAGCAGGGTAACGCCAACACAGCCACCTCTCGGGATGCATCGCCAGGAGCGGGATAGACCTTCCTTTCGAGGAGACAGGCTTGGGAAAGCCTGGAGGCAGGAAGACACGGGAGCCCCTCGGGTTGCAAGCGCGTGGCGCCAGGATTTCCGTGCTGCATCCACAGCAAACTCTGCCGGCTGCTGAGCGCGGCAAAGCCCCGCGGAGCTGCTCCCGCTCGTCCGATCAGCTGACGTTCCGCATTTCCAGCCACCCGCGCCCTCATCCCTGGGGGAATGCGGAGAGAAGGAAAAGGAGCTCGTGCAGGGGGGAGGCAGCTCTTCAGCCCTCCTCCTGCTGCCTAAAGACCCGAGAGCCAAAGGCAGCTGCTGTAGCTGTTGCTTGGTGTGATTCCTTTGCAGGTGCCACCTGAGCGACTCCGCCAGAACGTGCAGGGAGGAAATAACTCTGCTTTCTTGGCAGAGGACCAGTTTTGCTGCAGGAAACGTGGATGCTGTGTGGTTTTAACACCTCTACCAGAAACTGAGCCTGGAAATAGGAGCATCGTGTGCTAGAGCTGCTTGGCAGTTTTCTTGGTGGAAAACTCTAAGGTAAATAGACTTATTATTGCCATCTGATAGGAACACCTAAGCGCACTAAGTTATTTCCTGAGAGGCAAGTCAGTTCACAGAACCAGTTTTCCTATGGTATTTTTTCTGTAGTATCACCCATGTGCTGGCATGCTACTGGTGTGGAAGCAGAGCGTTTGACTGAAGGAAGAACATCGAGTGCTGTCACAGAAACAGCAAGCAGATTCACTAGGACACTCGACCACAGAAGTTAAAAAAATCCTGATCCTGTACAGATTAATTTGTGTTTGTTCCCCAAACATTTAGCAGGGGTTTCTTTGCAGCAAGAAAGCCGCAAAAGAAACTGCACACAAGGGTTTCAGCATGTGTGTGCCCTGCTTAACTGGGGAGGGGTGGATGATGCCAGAGGTGACCTGGTGCCCTCCAGCCCCTTTGAAAGCGGCTCCAAGGGGGAATCTCCTTTATGTGTGCTCAACCCAGCATGAACAAGTCAGAGCAACTGGATGGATGATTTGATCAAAACAGAAACACTGCTGATTTCCAGGCAGTAACACTGTAAAAGCGTGGGGAGAAAGGAAGAGCTGTAAAAAGTACGAGGACGCCCTTCACAGTGCAGAGCACAGAAGCGAAGTCTTTGGGGATGAGAAAGTGGCTTCTCTTCTACATGAGTTGCTAAAATAGGAGCAGGAGGGAAGGAGTCTGCACTGGAGAAAAAAATGGAAATTATTTGTCTGCAAAGAGAAGATGTTCAAAGCGGATGAGCTCACCTGGGACAAGACTAGGAAAAGGCAGTGCTGAGCACAGCTTGCCTGCTGTAAAGGTCTGGGGGCGAGCTGCCCCTCGCTGTGCTCCTGCCCAGGACAATTCCTACACTGGCTCGCCATGGCACGGCCAGGATCACAGGATCACAGAATCCCAGAATGGTTGAGGTTGGCAGGGACCTCTAGAGGTCGTCCAGTCCAACCCCCTGCTCCAGCAGGGACACCCAGAGCACGTGGCACAGGGTGGCATCCAGGCGGGTTTTGAAGATCTCCAGAGGAGACTCCACAGCCTCTCTGGGCAGCCTGTGCCAGGGCTCTGTCACCCTCACAGGAAAGAAGCTCTTCCTCACATGGAGATGGAACTGTGAAGAAGATGCAGGGACCCCAGCAGGATGCCCACGCTGCTGCAACAGGCAGCTGGCGCTGACGCCACACGGCTCCCGGGGCCTGTCCCCTTGGTCGGAACTCACTCCCCTGCGCAGTTTCCTTCCTTTGAAAGCATCAGTCTACTTATCTTGCTTTAGTGATGGTTTCGCACTCAGCTATGGTCTGTCTGGGCATTAGCTGAAGTTAAGGAAGGGGAAAAGATGACGAGATAAAAGCCACAGATAGAGAATAAATTTCTCAGAGTGGGAGGCATTATAGTTCAGGCACCACAACACTGTTCCAATACCCTGTGCCAGCCCCAGTGCTCTAGGATATCAGCGCCGGCTCCTTTGCACTGACTTCCTTTTCCTCTCTCTTTTCCTCACCTTGCATCTGTCCAGCTTCCAAAGAGCCTTCCCTCTGCAACCTGCTCTTTTCCCAAC